GATCTAACACCAAACCCTGCATTTGTAATCACTGTAAGTTTTGTAAATAAAAAGTTTACATTATCTATTCTGCATTCTGCTCATAGTTCTTATTTGTGAACAGCGTCTATTCTGTTTTTCTGGGAAGGAGGGTGATTTGCCCGGGATTTTCCCAGCTTTAAAGCACAAGGTGAGCTTAGGGTGCACCCACCCTAAGCAAACCCGTGGCAGTTGGTAACCCACCAGGAAGCAATACTTAACCTGAAAGATTCTATTGGTTCACACATTTTACCTCAAAATTCGTAAACCTGAGTGAAAAGTAGGGGAGCCTGGGGAATTATGAAGAGGACTTCATTTTTTAAGCACCAAGGACTGTCTCTCAGGTAGAAGAGCATTCATTGTCTCCTTCCCTGGAAATTACGTCTAGAAACTTAGAAATGAGCAGTAGCCTCTTTAAGTAGCACTTTGCAGCAGCATGTGAACTAAATACAGGTTTTTGTGGCAGTCATGTTCTGCTCCCGATTGGAAGGGAATTAGGGGTGAGAGCAAAGAGCAAAATATGTATTTCATGGAAGCTCTGAAGAGCAGCCCGCTGGTTCCTCCATGAAACTAGTGATTTAAATCACCACCGGATGTCTTTGGAAGTGTTTTAAAAGGGCTGCTCCACAGCATCCTCATTTCCCTGTGTCACTTCTCATGGCCGCCATCTGGAGATTGCAAAGGCTTGGTCTTTAAAATCTTTCCTTTTCCTAGGGCGGGGGGAAACAATGGACACATATGTAATACCCTTTGTAATAAAAAATAAAATAAATAAATAAATAAATAAAAATAAAAAAAAAATCTTTCCTTTTCCTCTGCTTGGTGTGTGCTCCTCCCCCAGCTCCTGTGAAGTGACTGGCATGCTCTGTGGGTCTAAGTGCAAACCTATTTTTACCTCGATGTTTGGGAATCTCTGGGCACAAACTCTCTGCAGATGAGGTAAGTTACAGGTGCACAGGTTCTCGTTACTCATTTAGCTACTGCCACTTTAAAGCATTAATCTGACTCTTCTGAATTTTCCCCTTCAGGCAGCAGGGCTTCCTTCACCTTCTATTGAGACCCTCACTGGCCTTTCCAGTTGATCCTTTCTCTATCTGCAGGGTGGATTATGTTCTTCTCATTTTCTTTTCCTCCTCTCCCGAGCCCCCTCTTTATTCTACCCTTTTCTCACTTCTCTCTCTTTTCAATACTGGAATGTTCTATGGGTCTAAGTCAAACCTATTTTTACCACAGTGTTTGGTAATCTCTGAGCACAAACTGTCCGCAGATTAGGTAAATTGCAGTATCATCATTTTTCCTGTCTATCCCCCAGTCCTACGTTCTTAGCCATAACTGAAACTGCTTTCTTTGAACACAACTATGCAACAATATAGTCATATCCCTTAGACCTAACCCACAAAAAAGATCTTCGCCAGTTTCTATAACAAGCCCTCACCCATGTCTATTTCTTCCGTGCGCTTCCTCTTACTGTCACCTTCTCAGTCCCCAGGTTTGCTATGAAGCTTCAACTTTGCTCCCTAGAAATATCAACCTAACATCTCAGTAACTTCTATCTCCAATCATCTTTTCCCAAGCTTCCCATTCATGACAAACTCTTCATTGTTATACACTCGTGTAGAACCGTATTCCTTTCCATTCCCTGCTCAGATATTTCTTTGTATGATTTTTAAATTAATGGCTGTCCTCCAGTAAACTGGAAACATGTTGAGGGCAAAATATGTGAAACACTATGATTTAAGTCACTAGTTTCAATATTTTCATTTCCATTATAACATTAACAAATAAATCCTTAAAGTTATTTTAAACAGCAGTGTTACCAAATCTAGGTTTTTCAATTAATTCACTATGGCTATTTCAATAAGAGGCCTTATGAATTGAGTAGGAGAAGAATGGAAATTCACATTTGTTGAGTTATTTCATATCATGGACTCAGCATACATCATTGCACAACAATATATTATATAAAACACAACAAGCCTATGATGTATGTGTTATATATGCCATTTGATCTCTTAGAAAAATGAGGCTTCAAACATATAATAATGGCGAGGACTGTAATTCTGTCTTACTCCAGAGCTCTGTTTTTCCATCACATACACCACTATCCCCAAGGCTCAGAGCTAAAATCCACCAGAGTGAGAACCATAGGCCTTTCCCTCCCACTGCTTCTCAAGCAGAGAACTGTACATAGTCAATCTGTTATAAAGATGATAGAAAGAAAATGCATTTACAGATACCTAAGTGTAAAGTAAGAACAATGGGGTGGCAAACTATTTGAAAACTCAATCACTAACCTTGTTTTAGATCTGTTAAGTAATTTATTAAAACTTAATATTATTGTTCTCTTATTATTATCTACTTTTTCCCCTAATTTTTAAACATGTAATTTCAATTATTTAAAACCTAGGGGATTTCAGTTTTCATAAACCTGTTTTGACCACTTGTCAAGGTTTGTGGCTTCCAAGTTCTTCTGAAAAATAATGTAATTGCAATTACAGATATCTCATATTTTGCAAACAATTGGAGTTCCAAGAGTTCACTAGTTCACTTGGAATCATTGCATATTTTCCCATTACCTAATCTAATAAAGGATGGTTATTTCCCAAGCTGGCATTTCCTTTTTCTCTCCTCCCACTCCCACCCCAAAACAACAACAGAGAGAAGTGTAGACCAAAATGAACAACAACACTAATTTTGCTGACTTACGTTCTACAAAATGTTGGAAAGGAACTTTGTAATTTGAGAAGAAATGATCATTTGATAGTGAAGGTTGAAATGCCTGAGAGGTTATTCTTGATCAGCACCTCAAAGATTTTTCTACCTTTTTCTAGAATCTTCTCTTTGTACATTTTGAACTCACTGTTTCTCAAGTGGAAACACTTGAATGAGGGAAAAGTAGAGGAAGAGCACACTTTCCTATTCTTTAGCAACTCATGATGTACAGACTCTCACATCTCTCCAAAACCTCTTAAAATCAGTGGTGAGTCTAAGAATTATACCACCTTAAATGTTATATTTATTATCCAAGCAACAAAATTCCTTAGAAGCAATATTTTCCTTATCTCGGTTTTTCTCTATATCTAAGAAAGTAATAAAAAGTACTTTCATAGAGTGTGCAACATTTTTAAGTGATTTTGCATTTTTGAAAATGTCATATTTATTTCGGTCTTTGAGAGTATGATATCTTTTGTCATTGTATCAATTTTATAGATTAAAAAATTGGGAATTTGAGGTGTGAGAATTGACTAAACCCTCATAGGCCCCAAATGATTAAAATTTAGGCCAGCCATAATCCAGTTCCAGGGCCATTTCTCCTCCACACACTTTTTTTTTTATATATCATTGTCAATTTCACCCACCCTTCTACATCCAGACTCCACAAGTGATCATTTTCACCTCTTTATCCGTAGTATCCAGGACACGGTCTGGCACTTTGTAGGTACCCCAAAAATGTTGAATAAATGAATTTTAGTTATTATTATCTTAGTAATCTTTGCAACTATGCTATGTAATTGTATTGGTTAAACGTGCCTTTTTAAGTTATCTTTACATTATAAAATGCAGCATAAGAGTGTGGTTAAGAGCACAGGGCAACTTTCCATAATGGATGTTTGTCCTGTTTGTTGGAGCCTCCAGTCTGCAGTCTTACCTGCTGACATTACCGCAATAAGGGTGCTGGCGTAAATAGGAGAAACTATCACAAAATACGTATCTTTTTATTATTAATCTTACCTATGCTCCCTGCTTTTCCAAAAAAAATGATTCATTCTCAAATTTGATAAGGAATTATTCAGCTGCACAACAAATACATAAAAACAGCCCCGAATGTCAACCTAACACCTGTGGCTCAATATAAAGAGACTGAAGAATTATTTTTTGAATAAGCGACTTGGCTGGAAAGTGTAGCTAGTTCCTACATTGTCTGACCATTGACTCCTGGCATTGTCTTCACTCTATTCATTTAAAAGAGTGAAGTCATATTGAACGTAGCCTATAATTATCACTGCTTGGTTTCCATCTAGTTTTTCAGGCACTGACTATACAGGCCCAAACCAGCTGATTCTCATTTCAAAGGCCACTTACAGGTGGAGTGGGCCCTTCCAGAACTCTAAGGGGAAAAAAGAAAAGAAAGGAAAGGAAAGGAACAAAGAGAAAAGAAAACAGAGGAAGGAAAGAATACAATAACAAACGAGGAAAAAAATAAGAAAAGAACAGGAAGCCTCTGCAATAGCTGTGCTTTGTTTCCTTGCTGAGAAATTGTCTGAGCCGACATAGCCTTATGCACTGACGCTTATCTAGCAGCTAATATGGGCTATGGGCTTCCCATGTCTATCATGGGATCAAATCCGCACCAAGATTCTGTTAAGCAACTGCTATTATCTTGAAGAAATTGAGACCAATGCTTACCTGTGCACACATAAATAGAAATGAACGAAGCTAGGACGTCAAGGGAGTCCTTAGAATCTAGGGCCTCTGCGCTTCATCCTTACATTGTACTGCCTTCCAACCACCGCACTTGCGTGCATTGGACCATAGGGAAGCAGTAATTAAAGTTCTGATGCCTTGCTTGTGCTTCAGGGGCTGCCTTTCTCATCTGAATCCTATGCAACAACTGATTTGGAGTCAATGGACAGCGAGCACACCAACGCAAAAGCTGTGTAGAACAGGAGCCATAACAGAGGCACCTTGGAGTGGGGGCCACAATGAGTCTTGAAACATCGTCTAGTTTTAGTGAAAGTCTTGTTTCCACTAAAAACGATCTTTAAACACGTTATTACATGTATTGCATTCACATGCTCTGTTCCACCCCTTACCTCATAGGTACTGCTGTGCCACCTAGGAGGGATACAGAATTCAGAGTTTGGTTGCCACCACTCCAAAAAAAAATAGATAGCAAAGGAAGGAATCTGAGCACCCTCCAACCACCTCCTCCAGTCCCAAACCATCTAACTGCCTTATTAAAAGAGAGGAAAGAGATTTACCTGCTGCTACTGAGGCCGCAGCCTGAAAGTCATGTAAACCCTTTGAAGGACTGTAATGGTTTAATCACAGGAATAGCATCTTTTTGACAGACAGGCGAGAAAAGAACTGAACCACTCTGCAAATACTACCCAGGCTATTTTGGAGCAATGGCTATTGCCTTTGAAATCTCTCATCATGGATCTATACTTAGAATTCAGATGAGCCTGGGGGAGGGGAATGGGGCAGTGTTAATCCCCAGTTGTTTTGAAGTTGTCCTGTAAGCAGGTTAGCATTTAAACTGCCCCAAATGGAAGCATTGGATTCTGTGTTTAAATTGTGGGGCTCTCTCCGGGAATTTTGTTTTAACCTGTCCTGCATGTAGATTGACACCTCATTCTGGGGGTGACACTTCTCAGTTTTCTTTCAGACTAGATGTTCTAGAGAGCACTGGCTGTAACCACGTTGGGAGACTGATGCTCCATGACAGCTAAAAGTTGGATTGAGTTTCAGGAGCTACTATATATAAAGCTGGGGTGACTTATGTCACCGCACTAATTAAATGCCATCTGGGTGGTTCCTCTGGGTTTTTGAGCCCATCACCCAGTTCAGACTGAGTCAGAGGCCAAGGAGGAGAACATGATGATGGACCTTTTTGAAACTGGCTCCTATTTCTTTTACTTGGACGGGGAAAATGTTACCCTGCAGCCCTTAGAAGTGGCAGAGGGCTCTCCTTTGTATCCAGGGAGCGATGGTACCCTATCCCCCTGCCAGGACCAAATGCCCCCGGAAGCTGGGAGCGACAGCAGCGGAGAGGAACACGTCCTGGCGCCCCCAGGCCTACAGCCTCCCCACTGTCCGGGCCAATGCCTCATCTGGGCTTGTAAGACCTGCAAGAGAAAATCTGCCCCCACCGACAGACGGAAAGCCGCCACCCTGCGCGAGAGGAGGCGGCTGAAGAAAATCAACGAGGCCTTCGAGGCTCTGAAGCGAAGGACTGTGGCCAACCCCAACCAGAGGCTGCCCAAGGTGGAGATTCTGCGGAGCGCCATCAGCTACATCGAGCGGCTGCAGGACCTGCTGCACCGCCTGGATCAGCAGGAGAAAATGCAGGAGCTGGGGGTGGACCCCTTTAACTACAGACCCAAACAAGAGAATGTAAGGCCACATGCTGCCCAGGCAGGGGAATGCATACAGGGTCTGATTAGCCGCTTTCCCTGGGGCTTTCCCAGCCAGCTGCTGGGTCTCTCTCTTTTCCCGTCCCCCTTCCTCGCCCGCCCCTCCAGCTCCCTCTCTAATGAACCCCCAGTGACCCCTGGACACGGGGTGCCTGCAATAGGCAGGAAATGCGCACCCGGCCCGGCCCGAGGAAGCAGGGGAGACGTCCCCACAAAGGCACCCCCATCCCCGGAACCGATGTTTATTTTCTAATCTGCTGCCTTGGTTTTTCTCCAGCTCGAGGGTGCGGATTTCCTGCGCACCTGCAGCTCCCAGTGGCCAAGTGTTTCGGATCATTCCAGGGGGCTCGTGATCACTGCCAAGGAAGGTAAGTGAAAGCAGGGGCGCCGCGCTAGGGAACACCCCGGGAGGGGGCTGGTTGCTCGCGCGGGGCAGGCCAGGCTCAGATCCACAGCCGGGCCGCGCGCGCCCGGGGAGAAGTGCGCTCCTTTCGCGCGGGGACCCTGCGCCCCCGGGTTGCCTGAGAGGCCTGGAGCCGGGCGCGGGGCTGCCTCTTCTGCCTTCCTTGGCTGCTATGTTTGTGTGTTTTCCGTGCTCAGGAGGGACAAGCATTGATTCCTCGGCCTCAAGCAGCCTTCGGTGCCTTTCTTCCATCGTGGACAGTATTTCCTCGGAGGAGCGTAAACTCCCCTGCGTGGAGGAGGTGGTGGAGAAGTAACTGGGAGCCGGCGTTTGGGATGATCGCGGCAGCAGGGAGATCCCACCCTCCCTCCTTCGACTAATCCTTCGGATTAGTTCACTTTACATTCACATTTAGGAACCCAGACCGCAGAAGTTTATGAAAGGGAAGGAGACACAAAGAAACTTCTCCGAAACTGTTGTGCAGACTCGGATGCCTTGGGCTCCGGGCTTTAATTTTTTGGAACAGCGAGTGGCGTAGGTCTAGCAGCCTTCCTTTGCTACTGTTTGGTTGGTTTTATAATATATTTACTTTTATTACGGTGATTCTTTTGTGCCATGATCAAAAGAAGTTCATTCCTGTCTAATACAAAGTGGGAACGTTGCATTTAAATGTTAGGGGTATTGAATGTATATTTGTAAATAATCTTAGTACTGTCATTTTATATGTAAACCTAAGAAATATATATTGTAAAGTAACATGTATTGTATATACAATGTGAGAGGATCCTGGTATTGTAATATTAAAAATGAGTTTCTGTATGAATAAAGTTGGCCCTATTTTGATTCAGCTGGAAAAAAAATATGCTTGAGGTATATAGAGAGCCATATTTTAATTTAGACATCACACCAGCCCATTTATCTGGGTAATTTCTTAAAGCCTGATTTAAAGGAAGGAAAATGGGTTGTTTTTCTATGTCTGAAACTGTTTGCTTTTCTATACCTAATATCCAGAAGGAAAATGTCCTTTTTTTCTTGTATCAGCATACTTTCTCATTCTGTTTCTGTCCTGTACCTGGAGCTCTGGGTGAGGCTTGCTTACCCAAAGTTGACTGAATTTTCAATCCAGTAAAATCTCATTGTTGCAAGAGATTGCCACACAAAAATTCTTCGCCTGTTTTTCTAAAAGCTCTCCAGCTAATTTAGGCCGAATGACTTTCCCTCTTTGACTTTCCCCAGGCCCCCGCCCTTGCATAAAAAGCATTGACCTGGAGCCCCCAGGGGCTGCACTGCCCGGTCTCAGGGACCCTCCCCAGTTTTCCTGAGCTAAAACTGGTGGCTACAAGACCGGGCTATCCTCAAGGCCTGGTGTGGCCTGGGGTAGTGTTCCAACTAGAAAGAGAAAAGAAGGAGACAGTCTATTGAGGCGGGGTGAGGAAGGGTTGCTTCGGGAGAGGGAAGGGTTAAATGCCGAGGGCAAAGGACAACAACAACACACATGAAACCTCTTAGCTGGGCCAAATAGCAAAGCCCCAGAGAGGCTTGCCTCCCCGGGAGCTCCTCAGGGTGAGGATTTTACAACGTGTGCCAGGTTTGTTTATCCTGTAACCTCAGGCAGGAGCGACCACCAAGAATCGCAGTGGGAAGTAAAGCAGAGGAGAGGGGCGAGCCATTTCTTTGGAATCAGGGCTTCTCTCTTGCATTCTGTAAACGGCACCTTCCGGCGGACTCCCCCTCCCAACTCCTCCCTTCCCTCTGTATCCTCACCGCCAGTCCGTCCTCAGGTGGAAAATGTGAAAATCAAATTGAATTCGGTATTTCCCAGCCCAACCTTGCTTCCTAACACGCCCTTCGGGACCTTCCTGTTGCACAACACAGTTTCAGATACCGCCACAGGCAGCGCCCCCTTCAGGCCTGGAGCAGGAATTGCCCCCCTTTCCATCTCAGAGGGCCGCTCTGAGGGTGATGGCCACTTTGTTTTCTGAGCCTCTAATTTCTCCTAGAATGCCTTTAAAATGCAGGAGGTTTCACAGCGAAAACTGACATTGACATGGAATCCCTTTCAAAGGTTTGAGAAGAGCAGGCGGGAGTGTTAGTGGATTTTGTAAACGGCCTCTGCGGGTGCTGACAAGCTAGACTGAATGCAGGCTGCTACTGGGTAACCTTGGACTGTAATTGCTGCTCTCTTCGTCCATTTCTTCATTTATAAAATAATGGGGACAATAATAGCGCTCAACTCCTGGGGCTGTCGGGATTCACTGAGATAGCCCACGTAAGCTGCTTAGAAAAAAGAGGGCGCAATATAAACACTCTATGCCAGCTCTCTCTGTTTTTCATTCATAAATATAAATGGGCCATCAGGAGGCTTTTCTCCCACCTAAAGCCACAGTTCCTTCCGATCCAGCCTTTGTAGGGGAAAGTATTAATGACAATGAGACCAAGAGCCACCTGAAGGAGCCATTTGTAGCATTTTACATATTAGCTCATATAATCTCACAACAGGCTGCAAGAGAAGTACTATGGTCACATCTAGTTTAGGGAAAAGGACTCTTTGGGGCAGAGAGGTTCTTGTAAGTATAGAGGCAAGACTCAGAGCCAGCTGATATCAAAGGCTTGTTCTCCCAATCACCATGCACCCCCAAAAAGAAGCCTTGGTGAATACGAAGGAACATTCATTGTCTGTGGAATAATTTGGTTCTCTTTGGCAATTATTTACCAAAAACTGTGTCTCAAGAAAGATTAGCTAGTAAACCCTACCTTAGAGTAGTAATTTAACTTAAAAATAAGTGGGAAAGCATTTCAAATGATCCAATCAGGACACGTGTGAATATGTCTGGGAGGTGTGTATAACCATTAATCACCCTTTTTAGGTATCTATGTGGGTTTTTTTTTCCTGAGAATCAATAAGGCTTTTCCCTGAAATGTGTGTATATACACACACCTATATTTTTAAAAAATCAAGTTCATGCCATAGTGAAATCAAATATCATAATCGACCAAGTGAACTAATTTATGATTGCACACATATTTATAAAATTTGCATTTTAAGCTGCTCAGCAGCAGAATGCTTTTTTTCAATTCATGGACTTTACTTGCTGATAGATTTGATTCAGTCTTTGCAAACCAAATCCTCTCTATCTCTCCTAGTTGGGTAATTTGAGAAATTGTTTAGAATAGGTTTGCCTACAGAAGTCTCTTCGTTAAATAGAGCAAATATTTCCCAAAGACTTCATGTGACCTCCATTGCTATATTTAACATGTTAGGCTTTCCAATGAAATCCTTGGTGTGTTTGCAATTAAAGTGTTTTCATTGGACATTAATGATGACAATCTTTATTAAGGCCAAAGCCAAAACAAATAGGACCATGGAAGCAGAAAATCAAGATGTAATAACTTGGTAAAGATCAGTAATTTGGGATTTAAACTGACCCTCCTCTCAGAGACAGGCATAAAGTTATCAAGTATGAAATAAGGAGT